CAAAAATGAGCTTTTTCGAAGCTCTCCGTGTCCGCATTCGCTCCAAATTACATGTAACAAGTGGGCGGAGTTCAGAGTGGGCGGGGTCTGTGAGACTTCCAGAGTGGATTTTGGGCTTTTCAGAAGCGCTTTTTCGTTCCAAACTTTACAGATAAATTATTTGGAGGTCCGCCACTACAAAGTTGTAAAATCTCGATACCTGCCAATTTGAGGGGACGCTGCCTTCAAAGTCGCTGAAACGCGTCAATGGAAAGGAAAGTAGTGCACCAGAAAAGTCTGTCTTTCGATTTGCTACCAGCCTCCATCAAAACATAAAAAGCAAGCAGCCAACAATACTTTGGTTATGGGGCTCTGCATGATCGCGAGAGTCTGAGGTTGAGGCCATTGCACGCGCATGGAGCAGGTGTACACCATTTAATAGAGTAAAGCATGTCTTACAAAACGTTTTCAAGCTTTTGCAACTTTTGATTGTGTGAATTTTGAAGGCAGAATCAAAAAGTATTGACCCAAAAAATGCTCGAATCTTACATATGCTGCTCACACATTCAAACACACAGTCGCTTCATTTTTCTTTACCGGACTGTAAAATGAAGACTATAATGTTTTCGTAGTGATGATAGGTTGCCACATATCCTCGAATTCGAAATATGAAATTCGTAAGCGCATCTTTCAGAGTTTTCAACCTCTGCAAGAGCTAATTCTCGAAACATTTCAAAATTTTTAATAATGGTTTAAGAAAAAGCGAGCTAAAATGACTAATATTTATCGAAAACTAGCTCTGAGAATTCTGAATTACGGCTGTACTTACAAGGACTTCAATATTGAGATGCATAAGTGGAAGAGGCCCTGCGTTGCTTTGAAAAATGTACAAAAACTTTGGTTTCTAGTGTTTACAATTGGAGAAACAATATAGATGTGAACATTTTAGTCAAGGAGTATTGAACTGGGAGATACGTAGGACCTTGGATAGACTGCCAATATCATTTGCACTCATGGCTTTTCAAATGAAAATGGTGCTCACTGTACATTATTGGCGCTTTCCTGGTGGCGGGCAATTGACTGAAAAACGACAGTCTATGATGTACAACTAAAAACGAATCAGAGCAAACCATTCACAGTTTACTATTTCAGCTAAATTATTCCAGGTGGCTATTACCTGACAATCGAATGCAGCCAACTCTTATACTCCCTTTGATTGCTGCCGTCCTTACTAGAGAAGCCGCAGCTCAATATTATCCATATTATCCATATATGAGAGGTTATCCAGGATATGGCATGTACAGGCCAATGTACGGTGGTTATGGATATGGTGGATATCCAGGATATGGAATGGGTGGCATGATGGGCGGTGCTGGAGGTCAGAGATCTTTTTACTAAATGTGTCAAAATGACTGATTTTCAGGTCCTCTGGGATCAGCAATGCGAGGCGCTATTAGAGGAGCAATGATGGGTGCAATGATGGGAAAATAGAAAGCAGGACAGCTTCACACACGTTGTCATATAGTCAACTTCTACGATCGTTGTTCGTCGCATTTTTCCGCTGTAAAGTTACTTGGTAAAAGTTCTAAAAATTGTAACTTCTCGTTACGTTGATACAGCTACTTTGTTAGCACAATTCTGAGAGAGTCGGAGTCTGCTTTATACATCAACTAGTTTTACAACCTTTGATAACTTGCGTGGATCTCAGAAATAACAGATGATGAAGTAACACTTTGTGCACATTGGCAATATAAGCTCAATATTTGGCTACCTGTAAAGCAAAACACGGGGCACGAGTGGTATGGGCGCCGCTATGACCAAATCGGATCAAAGTTTGATTACCGCCCCTGAGCCAACCAGGCCCCTTACCCTTCGGGGTTGGTAAATTGGTAGCAGAATAACCTAGGAGGGCAAA